GGAATCTGTGGAAAGTTTGTCAAGATGTGTTGTAATCTCATTGTACTCTGCAGAAATATGCTACACTGGAAAATGTGAAGTTGAGCAATAGTACATAAGAATGGCCATCAGAATGCATGTGACTGATGATGGAGGAAGTAGATTCAAAGTAAGCACAAGACATGGACCATCTTATACTAATATAATTTGAAAAAACAGATGTCTGTCCATAGGGGGCTGCACTTAGCTGAGCCAATTTTATTCTCCTGGTCAACTCTACATGGCTCTATTCAGAGTATGGTCATGTTGATAAGTTAAACACTTATGTCCCTGAAGGTATAAATATTGAATTTTTTTTATAAAAGGAAGCATTGTAAACCACTTTTCCAAAATGAATTTGATAGTTCTTAGTGTTACACTGTGGCTTGAAATACCACAACACCAAATATCTTGTCAAACTTTGACAATTCCTTCTAGCAGAATAATATCATTTGGGAAAATGGATCTCTGTTCATCCATTGCATAGGAATATAAAGAAAAAAGGAACATAAAAAAACAACAACAATTATATGTATAGGTGCAAGGCCTATTAAGATCAACTTTTATGGATGCATATTAATTTCTTTGCGTATATGTTGTTAAACATTTAAATCATAATTTTAATCATTAAAAGCCAATTTTCAGAGTATTGTTTGTGTAATTTTCTACTAGTAAAACAGATGTTACATTTTTATATGTTAAATAATATCCACATGTAATAAGAATGTCTGAATATGTTTTGTTTTCATTTGAGTTTTAAATAGGTTTTCTGTGCCATTTTCTGAAATTTTGTTTACAAATTCAATGCTTTGTTGAGTTCTGAAAATTCTGTTAACAAGTATAAAAACATGGCTGACTTATTCAAACTTTAGAAGGAAGGGTGTTAGAAAGTTGTTCTGCTATTAACAAGAGCATAAATACAGATGATTAATTAATACCTTTGAAGGTGGGGTGAGTGCTCACAGTACCAACATTGACAGAGATGGTTTTTAGTTTTAAAAGAACTTTTAGAAAGAGCATATCTTAGTACCAAATATTCAGTTTTGTGTAGTTAGATAAGAATGCAAGTTGAGTGAAATACTGCAACTCTATATACTTTATCCATTTTTGACATGTTCTACTAGTTGTTCTTATAAAGCATGATTAACTCTCCAGAGATGTTCAAGCCATTAAATCATTGTTATCATATCAAAATTACTTTGTAAAACAAATTTAGATGTGCACATTAAAGATCACTAGTCCACTGACAGGAAACAAATTATCTTGTAGTGCACTTAAGTGGTCATATTGAAAAATATTAAAACATTGGTAGCACATTAAAGTTGTCTTATTATAAACTCAAACATATATATTATAGAATAATAACTTATTGATGAGCACATTAAAATTACTTTGTAATACTCTCAAATATGTTATTATAGGATATTAAATCCCTGGTGGGAAATTAAGTTTATCCTTAAAACACAGATTTGTATTGACCTTTTCACTGCACATTTAATTTGTTATTTACTATGCAGTGTTGTAATCAGCTGTATGTTTTCACACTAAACTAAATCTATCCATCTCAACAAAATTGCCCTAAAACACACATATTTCTGTCTTGTAAGACTTACAAATAGTTAAATTTATTCAAAAGGAATTTTGGAGAAAAAGAAAAATTTGTAACAGCTAATTTATCTTATAACTTAAACTACAGAACATACACACTGTAAATGATGACCATCAAGATAAGAATAGCACAACACACTTTTCTAATTAAAAAGACTGGTTTGAAAAAAGCTAATATTTCTTCACACCTTACCCATTTTCCCCATAACTCTGTGAATGCTTTTTTCAATTACACTTACACATTGCAATTGACAAATTAAATATAAATGGCATCCAGAGTTTATAGTTTCAACCAGTTGTTTATAAAATTAAACCCACCAAAAAACACTATATTAAATTATCTAAATAAAATATATTCTATGAAAATTCATTTCAGAACAAGCAATCACTATAATGCTATTAGTCACAAAAAAAACAGAGAAAAATACATCATACTATATTTATCATGATATTTTCATGTTTTTTTAGAACTATCTCATTTTTTTACCTCAGTGTGTTTTAACCACACACTAGTTGGCACTGTGTCAAGATTACACATTTGTCTACAGTCAAATAATCTTCATGATGTAGGCTTAGTTGTATCTACTTCACTCATGTAAAACAGTGTTTAACTTGTAATGGTTACATAGCTTTAACTAGAGCCTCCAAGTTATTTTGATTTCTTACATTTAAAAAATTCATTTTTAAAAACCTGTTTTAGGAAGTGCTTACTTTCAATTATTATGTATTTCACAATCAAAAAATATATATATATATATATATAAAAAAAAACAATGTAAGCCTGTCTACATTTCTGAATTTACCTTTTAAAACCAGAATGAAAACAATAGGGAGGAGCAGATATAATGAAAATTATTTACATATAAACAATATATCAAGAATACTGGTACATACAGTTTTTGATACAAAAGACTGATGAAGTTGGAATCTAAAAATTTTTCGTCTTTATTACTTTTATGACACAGTATAAAAATATGAAATGACACATTAACCATCAAAACTTCATAATCATACTGTCACAAAAAAACCTACACACCAAGTAATATGTTTGAGATGTTGGTGACTTGGACCCTCCATAACGACTAGGACTAAGAACTTGATTCTAGATACAAAAAAAATTATAAAATAAAATATAAATAACCAATAGTAATAAAACAATCCATAAAAGTGCTATAAAGACACTATCAGAGCTAAAATGCTATGTAAACTTCTGAAGAAAAAATATAGATATGCAGAAAAGCACATAATGATATGCTAATACCTTTCAGTTTCTGAAATCATGCCAAACTTCAGTTTAAAATATATGGAATGCATAATACTAGCAGGTTTTTCACACACTCATGGGTTTAACTTTTAAAACAGATCCTCTGCTTCACTGAATTCAGTTTAAGTACATCTATCTTGTAAATATGTTGATTCTCAGCTGTGCATGGATTATTGACTCAAATTTTGCATATCCTAATATAATTTACATTTTACTCTTTATAAAACCAAATATTTCTAAATAGGATAAGGAGCTGACTCTGCTTCTCTTTTACACTGAAATTTACAGTGCTGTTTAACTTTACCATGAGCCTCTCTTGGTGTCTGTTCAACAAATTATATGGACACCTTGTATAATATTTTATCCATTGGATATAAACCTATTTTTCAAAGACTGCCTGTTTCATTTATGCAATTATAACAGATTTTTGTCTATATACATAAACACAGTCACAAGACTCAAACTTAAAATTAACCACAAACAACCTTTCCTTATCCTTTTCTAAAACATTACAATCATGATTTATGATTTTTTTAAATAAAAATCTGATATTTTCACAAAAGATTTACTAATGACAAAGTAACTGTAGTCATCAAATAACACACTATCCAAATAATATTTGAATGACAAACTCTTTGATGACCTTAGCTTAACTTATCAAAACAAAAACAAAATTTACCTTAAGATATTCATTTAATTTTTTGGCATTCTCTCCTCTTACATTTTTTCCTCCTAATGATGCAAACAAAAAAAGTACATTTTTACACTTAAATAGCAATGATGTGACTAAACATATTAAAAGACAGCTTCTTGTTTTTCTAACAGTTATTGTAAAAACAGTAACGAAAATTACATTTATACGCAAACAAAGAGTGAACAATCTAGCTTTGGTTAACAATAATTATTAGAAAAATTAGTTACTTATTTTAGGTCATTATATTTGACAAATAACAAATTTATCAGAAATTTCATTGTTGAGCCACTTGCAGCACAATATTTTACTGAAAACAGTATAACAAGCACAAAGAGTAAAATGACAATATAAACCATAAATGTATTGGGTAAATAATAAGATCAGCTATAAACAGTTCAACTACAAAGTACGAATAATTGAACAAAATTTATTATTCGACCATAAAAGGTTTTAAAAACACTGTGCTATTACAACATTAATAATTTTAGTTAATTTTTGTTCTCTACAGATTCTGTAAAAGCAGGTGAAATTTCTCATTTATGTAAGTTTATTGAACTTAAATAAAAACTAATAGTTGACTTTATGTAACTTTGAAGGTACATTCTTATTTTTAAAGTTTGAAAACACCGAACAATTCTACATTGTTGAAGTGTCAATAATAGTATATAAAAACTACACTGCTTATTTATTTTTTTACATTTAATACAAAGAATCTCACAATTAGTTTTCAATAAATTTCATGATGTATTTACTTCTAACTAACATTTTAACTCAGTCAACAGAACATCATTCCTAATACTTTTCTAGTTAACTAGCTTTGAACATTGACTTTTGCTTAACTGGTACTAATTTTACAGATTTCAAGAACATTACTATATCTTGGAAGTTCTTTTTCAAACATATACTAATTAAGAATAATTAAATAAAATATTGGTACTCAGTAATTTTTCATAGCATTAGTCAAAGCCATTCAGCCTTTCTCATACAGGTAAAGCTTTAGTAGTAGTACAATAAATACTGTATATGTGCAGAAGTCTAGAAATACAGTCTGCAGTTCAAAATAAAACTTTAAGATCTTTATTAAGTTTTATATTTTATACCATTTTTGACTTATTAATTTCCTAGCATTTTATCCTATTTAAATCTACAGATTAGAAGCATAACACATCAAACACTTGATATTATCCATAATTTTTGTTTTACACATGTCACAGTCAGTGGGAAATGTGCAACTGCACCCTTTTCTTTACAAACTTGTCTCAACAACAACAAAAAGGATATCTGAAGAACATTAGTCATAACCACAGTGAAAATTTTCTAATTCATACACAATATGATGAAAAGTTATTTCAGGAGAGGTAGATGCAAAACTGATAAAGACTAGATTAAAAAATTAAATATATCCTATAGGATATAATGTTTTCCTAATTAATTTTTTTTCTACAAATAAAAAATCTAAAGTCCTATATGCAGCATATTTAGTATTTAAAAATAACATAAACATGTGAATTTTTCTTATAAAGTGAATAATTTAACAATAAGGTAAAACATTTTACAATGATTACGAATGTTACGCTTTAGAATATTATATTACATATGATTAAACTTTCATGAAAAAAAAACACATTACCAATCCATAAAAAAGTAGTGTGTGTATCATTGAGGCACTGAAATAACTGGTTAAGCTATTCATGAAAATGATGACAATCTGATTTATATTAACAAAAAAACGGTTTGAACTAGATGTCAGTAAACATAACAACTGTGATATTATTCCAACATCAAAAACTTCAAAACTGACATGGATGCACATTTTAGGACCAGTAGTGAAGGTACCCACACTAAGTGGCCTGATGGGAATGTCAGGATAGTGTGAGCATACATCATTTGCTAAAAGTAGCAAAGGAGAAACGTAAAAGGCTATCAAGCTTGTAAAAATGAGAAAATGAACAAATTAAGGACTTTTAGAATTCTTCTGGATCATATAAAAAAATCCCTTAAATTTTTATGGTGATAGATGTCAGGTAGTTGTAAAATCTTTGTTATGGACAGATGAACAGACACAAGATGTTTCATAGTACAGATGAACCTGCCAAAACATCCACCCATCCATTCATCTTTACATATACTTCAGATGAATAATTTTTAGTTAATTACTTGTAAAAATATAACAATAAACGAAACTGAATGAAACAGATGGAGCTGCCATTTTCTTACTACATGATGGTTCAAGCTTAAGATTTATTAGTTTGTTCTCTCTCTCTCTCTTAGTGTATGATTATCAAGTTTATTTGTTCAATAAATAACTATCTACTTATAAATCTAACACATTTATTAAAAACATATATCTACAGATTCAAGTTATTTCCAACCTAGTTTTATTTGTAAGCTCAAAGTACATTTTTCTGGGTAGAAAATGATTTACTTAATTAGTAACAATTTTGCTTAAGCTTTAATATAATTATGTTACAAGGAAAGAAAAAGAGAAACCTGACATTCTTAGGACAGCAGTCAATTAGTTATTAATTTTGTACATGCATTTAGAACACTAATAACTCAAAATGCTAATGTTGAACACTTTCTTTTCACATTCCTTTTCACGAACAACTTCAATTACTACACAACAAATGATAAACAATATATGTTTAGCAGAAAAACATCTCAAATCAAGCAAGATTTCTCACACAGGACAAGTAAATGCAAGTCATATAGCTCTATCGTAGTAATATTATCAAAGATAACTTTTTTAAACTTATAATACAACAACAAAAGATCTTGAACAAGCAGATAAAACACTATGTATTCCCACAGTCTAGATGTAATGGTCCCCAGCAGTTAGTTGATCCAAGAAAACTTCCCAAAATATCTTTGATGCAAATTTTAAAACATAATACACAAGCTTTTTCAGGGAAACAAGCTTTATCTCAGTTTATAGTAAAACAACACCACGGATAGTACGTCAAAACAATAATGTGGATAGTATGTTAAAAACACAACATGGATAATATATATCTACTTTCTAAATATGATTAACAAATGACAAAATTAAAATAATTAACAGTGTGATTAATATAACTTTGCAAAAACAATCAGACTAAGCATGTTTTCTGGCACGGAACAAATATGTGCAAGTAATATACCAGCATTG